ATATATATATATATATATATATATACCTTTATTGTAGTATATGAAGGACAATTTGTCAAATTCAATCGAATAGTGTTTCGCGTGAAATTTAGAATATTTTTTTTTGGTGCCGTTCAGTGTTGTCTTGTTCCATTGATAGACTAAGTGGCTTTCTCCTACTCTGCTAACCATTTTTCCTAGAGGTTTTTGAGAGCAAAATACAGTAATTGTAGAATGATAGTTGCAATTACTGAAATATTCTTTGGGGCAACTACAAAACTTATTTTAAAAAGGTAAATACTTAATATTTATATGTCTGTAGGTTTCAAATGAGTTATTTTTTTCGAAGGTTGTCATATTATCTTAGTGAACATCCGTTGATGACGAATATATTTTTGAGCACTGTTGTCGGTTTTTATGGTGATGTCATTTGCCAATCTATCTATGAACCCTGGACAAAAACTCGACCATCTATCACACATGATTCCCTTCCTACGGAGAGTTCTCAGTCACGTTTTCTGATACAAATACCCTCGATTCCTATGTATCTGCGATCAAAGTACTACAAATACGTTGGCAGCATTGGTGATGTTCAACATGACACGAAACCCGAACCTGTGCTTCTTGACCTTCGGCGAAGTATGATATTTTCGAGTTTCGCTTTTATCTTTGGAGTGAGATACTCCTTGATGATATTTCGTGTGTTGGATCGCCTGATTCCACCGAAGAATATTTCCAAGAAAGCAGCACTAGGGAAGGGGTTTCTGAACTGGATTTTTTCACAGTTTATCAACCCAATTTTTCTGATTCATGTGTCTTTGTTGAACCACTTTTTTATTTATCGCGACGGGAGAGACGGTCGGCGTCAGCTGAATGAGATGCCCAGATCGAAGCTCGCTGAGGGTTGGTACAATATAGAACAGGGGGGTTCCGTAGTGTACAAAATGGGTCATTACTACTGCTTGACAGACGATAAATCGTTTAATATAGAAGAGTATATGAAATGTGTGCTGTTAGATATGAAAAAATGTTTCGCAAAAGACTTCATCGATATCACTCGATACGGATTGGTATTTTGGGGTCTGAACTGGCTCCCATTATTTTACTATATACCATGTCATTTTAGAATAGCCTACGCATCTTGTGCACAATTAATTTGGAGTGGCATTATGTCATTTATTTTTTACCGCGGATAGTGTGTGAAACAACAGAACAGAGTCACGACAGACATGTTGAAGCTTAACAATAAGACAGAACGGTGCTTGTGGATCTTAATTAAAGATCTTCCATTATCATCGTTAACTTTTTTCACAAAATTTAGAAGGGTAAGGCTAAAAAAATATCTGAACCTTGTTCTGAATAAAGATGACCTAATCTTTTTCCAATTTCTAAAAACTGAAATTGCTTTTATCAACTCCTTTTTTGCTTTCATTTTGTGGATAATACATTTTGTTTGTATTCCATGATAGACGAATATAGGCTTATATACAAAATCTATTTCTTTTTCTCTTTAAAATTTCATTTGAAGTCGAGATCTTGAATATGGGGTACCTGGATTTAGATTCTAATGAATGATAAAGTTCTGGAAGAAGAGGTAAACTTATTGAATTAAGCAGTTATTCGTTCTCTTTGAATTTTTTCGTTTATTTAGCTGTTGTTGGAACATAGGCTGCTGTTCTATATTTTATAGAATTATATGGAAAGATCCTCTCATGCTATCCGATTTTCGTTTAGACACTGAAAGTAACCATGCGTATATTATAACTCTATTATAATTCAACTAGAATGGGTTTAAGATTAAAGACTTTTGCCTATTAATCAAATTAAATCGATTCGATGTATTTCTCACATTATCCATAATTATTAAAAGGATTCATTAATTGAAGTGTTCATGTATTTTGCGACTGTTTCTTAATGAATCCATGGTGATCCATTTTCTAAAGTTTTCATTCACATTTCTCGCACCTTCATATGCATAATGAATTTGTCCTTTTCTTTGTTTTACCAACAAATTAGGGGATAAATATCGACGTGGTATATATACAAAGCAAACTCAAATTATCGGAGTATAGGATATTTTTATCATTCCTTCGTTCAACAAGCTTAATTGTATTCAATACATCTTCGAGTCGGAAGAAATCCACACGATTCGCGACACAAAGCCATTGAGAGGGTATGATGCTGAAGTGGTGTGGTTCTGGGTTGCTCAAGATCACTGCAGTGACTTTGCAGGGTTGGGGGGGCACTAGTACAGGTGGTGGTGGTGGGTGGGGGGACAGCAGCTCTACTCCCAAGGGAGGAGACGACGCTTCGGCTTCTAAGGATGGGGGGCGCCTCGGCACGCTTCAGGGGGAAGCGGCGGCTGGGGAGACGACGCTTCGGCTCCTCAGGAAGGCTGGGATGACACTAGGCAATGGAATGCGTCCGATGCAGGCTGGAGAGGCGCTCCTACTGGTGCGAGGATGTCCTCCGGCAGGGGGAATTTCCGTCGTGGGCGCGGCTCCGCGTGGAGTCGTGATGCGACTGGTGGTGGACATGATGCAGGAGTCTGGGGAAGGCCACAGGGTGCTGATGAAGAGGCATGGCGAGCTGCCCCACCTAGCTTCACCCCCCCGGTGCGTCGCGTTGACCCGCTGACTCTCACGGCTGTGGAGGTTGAAATTGACGGCATCAAGAAACTGGTGGGCCAGCGTGTGCAGGTGACTGGTCTGGCAGACGGCACATCGTGGCAGACCCTCAAAGATCATCTTCGTCAAGCAGGCGAAGTCACTTTCTGCAAACTTTTCTCGAACGGGCGCGCAATGGTGGAATTTAGCACACCTGAGGATGCCTCGCGTGCGATTACGGAACTGCAGGCTTCCGAGTTGGAGGGTGCGACATTATTCTTGCGCGAGGACCGTGAGGATATTGTGCTCTTGAATACGCGCCGAAAAATACGCGAGGCACGCGATGCGCAGTTAAGAGCACGAAAGGAGGAAGCAGAGCGACTTAGGAGGGAACAAGCGATTGCGGAGGGAGATCGTCCCTCAGGGTCTTTAGGTAGCGAGGGTGATGTGCCCAGAGGGTAAAATCATAGCTATGCTGATGGTGGTATTCGTAAAATTTCCATTTCCAGAACTTCTTCTCTTTAAAGCACCTCCGCGTTCTTAAGAAAGTGTGTGTTGAGCGTAGATTACTTTGTGATCGAAATTAAGTGTCATGCAATCACTGATTCCTTTTCTTCTATGCATGAATAAGGGGGAAGCAGGGTAATTTGTTTCTTTCATGATTCACCCTTTAACACAATTATATTCTTTGGTGGTATCCAGTACAAATTACTTGGTCGTTTATGAGAATTACATCTATTCCATTTCTGATGTGTATTGGTTTTATATATGCGAAGGACTAATACACACACACATATATATATATATATATATATACATGTACACGCGCATACTGTTTGCATCAATTCAGTGTCAATGAGTACTAGCTCAGCTCTTATTCGTTTTTCGTTGAATCAAACTCAGATTGAAAAGCTTGTGGTCTGTCTAGGATATTTGAGTAGGTCAGAATCGGCGTGCCGCGGCGCACTTGCGACTCGCGTCACAAGCTTACTGCTTTACAACTGCCGTCCTTCGCCCAATGATATTCACGATCCCGATCGCACCAGGCTGCACGCTCGTGATGCTCGTGGAGTCTCGCGGCGGTATTACGACACGCACGCTAACGCCTTTGGTATGAAGGGGAGTCGGGTCAATCGAAAGCGGCTCCAATCTTTCCCTCGCCGTTGCCCACAAACGTGGGACTCGGATATGGTCCCGGACTTTATGGGTCTTTGGTGTGATCGTCTGTTACTTGGAGATCACAGTCAGCCCAACCGTGTTGCAGTGCTAGAGCCCCGTGTACCTGCTCAGTTTCAAGGAGAGGCCATTACACGTGTGGCACAAAGCCATCACCATTTACGGCAAAAGGATGTGCTTGTGGTTTATTCAACCCAGAGTCTGCCTTTTGGAATGGTGCGTGTGGTGGATGGCGTGGACCTTGACGGTGTAGGAAACCACTCTCAAGGTTGCAGGGATGATAACAGAGGTCACAGCAGAAATAGATCAATATACTCCGAAGTTGTTTCACATGCGATCCGACAGATCCCGAAATCGTCTAGTCTATGTTCTTCTTTATTGCTTGGAGTTGGTCGCGGGGCAGGTTCGCGGACCAGCTTCACCGCTGAAGAAGAGAGGCGATTAAAGCAGTTTCTCATCCCTCTGGCTACTTTTGGCTGCGCTCTGTGGTCGGTAAATAGACAAAAGAGTGCGGATTACATGCAGAATATGACCCCAACCGCCGATTTTTTAGATCAAGACAAGGCAAACCAACGATTATGGCGTACAATGCAGGCGGCGATGCTTTCCACGCGTGACACGGCCCTGCTGAGCGGGTATCACAATGAAACTCCTCTGGACTCACGGCTGAATATGCAACATCAAGAATATTTGGCACAAACACTTTTAGAAAGGCTAGATAAAAGACGAAACGTATTTTGAGTTGTTGGAAAGACAAGAAGATGCCTAGAAAAGATATCTAAGATCATACGAGAGTGGAGTTCATCAGAGGGGTTCTCAGAGGTAGTTTTACCAAAGTGCGCTAACAAACGGTCTTGGATTTGCTTGAATGAGAGTATTTGAGTGAATAATCCAGATTTGTCTAACCCTTGTCTGCAATGCTTTTTCTTTCTTTCATTTTTGAAGACAAAGGGGTGCATTCTTCTTTTTCCGATCGATTCATTCAACCAAATTTTGACGCTGCGTCTCTGGACCAGTTAAAGCACTGTGAAAGGTATCCGCTCGTACACAGAGAGGTAATAGTAAAGTGCGAATAAATGGTATCTCATGGACATAAAAACCAAGAAAGAGTGTGGTTTAGCAGAAGATACCCAGCATTTATGGGCGGACTCTGCGCCAGCGGCTGTCGCTAAGGCGGTGCTTGCCCAACCTTTGAGCTCACCCTGGCGCTTCTTGCTCCAACAGTCCTGCTTGTATCGTCAGCATCCTGAAGCGGTGCCTCCAATGGTTTTGGCAGCTATGGTTCTCAGCTTTTGTGATGCGGATACCTGCTTCAAGCCTATCGATGGGGAATCACCTCTGACGCCAGGGTGCCGTTTCTTGTGCGTGTCTCTGGCGACTGGGACACGCTGCTCTGGGGCGATATTGGAAGTGAAGGATTTCTCTATGAGACATTTTTTAATAAGCGACGGGCATGCTGAGGTACTTGCACGCCGCTCTCTCCTCGCATTTTTACTTGATGCTGTGCGTTCAGCCAGCAGAGATGGCTGCTGTTTTGGTTACGCAGGTTCTCAGCCGTTTGTGGTGAGGGATTCTGAAAACAACGGGTGGCGACTGCGTTCGGATGTTCGGGTTCACTTAGTGGTCACACATTGGCCATGCGGTTCCATGGCGTTGTCGGCCACATCACGCACAGGGGGGCATCTCCTTCTGCGTACTCCTTCTGCCAAACTTTTTGGCGCCTGGGAGAAAGATTGTGTTGCGGAAACGGAGTTTGAGGACGGGTGTCCAGATGATAGTGTGAAACATTCGACAATATATGTGTGCCACCACATTGTTGCGACGCACGAGAGTATGTGTGAGAGGGATCCCCATTACACTCACTGTTGCCGTGTGAAGCCTGGAAAGGGGCATCCCAATCTGAATATGAGTTGTAGCGACAAGCTGTGGCGATGGTCGGTGTTTGGGCTTCAGGGACGTCGTTGCATGCGCATTCTGACGCAGCCTATTCGCTTAAATAGCATCGAAGTCGCTGTTGACGTAAGCACCGATAAGGGAAACGGCAGCAACTGTGTGAGTGGAATTGATCAGGCCAAGAACGCACTGGATTCTTTGTTGTGGAAAACATGTGCATTTGAGGAGCAGGTGGGAGCGGGTGGATGTGGTAGTCACCCTGTTCCATCACCACTGCCCCTACCCAACATTTCGGTCTTTTCAATTGAACAATTATATGGATTAGGTGACGACATCCCAAAAGGTGCAAAAGGTGCGTGTGACTCTAGCACAATTAGCGATTCTGGCTACTCCCGCTGCTCGTGGATGACAAACCTTCGTTTCTCTGGTGAAGTCCCAGGTAAGGCTGAAAAGTTATTGGTGCCTATGGGAGTGAATTCACCGATCAATTCACCTAATCACATCAATGATGTTGCCTGTTGCTTGGGCATCAAGCGTTCACGTGTTTCAGATCCTGTGACTGACACCGACAACAACCTGAAGGTTAGACCAACCCGCCCTCTATCCGTTATCGAGGCTACATGGAAAGGAAGTTCGTTCCTCACACTTAATACCAAGGCCGGTCTTCCACAAGGCGTCAGCATACAGCAACTAAACCGCGCTTTAGAGAAGATAACACCTAACCTTTTTATGAGATACCCCCTATCTCGAGCGTGGATGGAGGCACGGGTGGAGTCTGCTCAAAATGAGCTCACTAAGGACATGGGGTGTCTAGGATATGACACATGGAAGTTCTCACCTTGTAAGGATGATGCGTTTAAAGCACTTTTGTACGGCATACCAAACAGCTCTTCCTCATCCGAGAAGAAATTGCTCTGGGTTATGAAACACTATGACACAACAAATACCAGTAAGAATACATAAGATATTGACTTCTTTTTGTCATTTTGGAACGTTCTGTGAAGCCAGAACAAATAATTTCTATTTGGGGGACAATTAGAAATCCATATATATATATATATATATATATATATATTATA